GTTCTCTCACTTCCACCCCCCCTCCACTCTTACCCCACCCCTCTCCTGCTCCTCTTCCTCCCTCTTCAGTCTCATTTTCACCTCCTCCCTCCCTCCCTCATTAGTCAGTGTCCATGAAAGTCATCAGTCCAGTGTCCTCATCACCTCCTCACTAGTGAACAAACGTCTCCTCAGCTCGCTCCTCTCGTCCTCCTCTTGTCTCTCCCTCTTCTCGCCTGGTTTCTCTTCGATCCTCTCTCTCTCTCGTTTTCTCCTCCACACCTCAACTCCTCCACCTGTCTCTCATCCTGCTGACTTCTATCCCTCCATCTTTCCCTCTTTTTTTAATCTCATGGGATGCAAAGTCCAGAGAGATGAACTCTTTCCTGTTTCGTTCCTTTGCTCTGTGGCTGCAGAGCTCAGTATAAAATTAATTTATTCGTCATTTTTCTGCACGCCGGACTTGTTTTTGTCTGCACGGGTCACACACACACGACGTGCATGGATGTCTGTGATGTGCTCTGGAACACTGCATCTGTTGATTTCCTCCTTTCCGGTCCGTCTCAATGTGTGTGTGAGATCACAGGTATGGCAGTGTGGGTGGAGGTGGGATTGCTGGGGTGCACTGTGCTCACATCTCTCCTGACGCACCGACAACTTCACCGACAGAAGAAGACAGTGTGACGTCTGCAGAGATCCAGGGCTGGTTGTTCGTTTTATTTTACATTTGTTTGCACAGATGGAGAAGGTTTGATGCAGTTCAGGCCTCATGAAGTGTGGCCATCGCTGCGCCCCCTACTGGCAAATCCGGATAAATGTTTTCACCAAACAGCCAAAAGATGGATTCTCTGAAGACAAAAGGCTGTAGGCGGGGTTTGGAGAGCAGGGCCATCTGCCTGCTGCAGAAAGCTTCTTTCTGTGTGAGCTAGAACCCTTTAAAGTCTGCATCTGCATTATTAATAAGAGGGTGGGCTTCTGTAGATGTCCCACTGTACCAAGATTTGTCTTATATTGGATATGACGTCACTGGTTCAAGTGTTGGAAAAGAATAGTCATGGTTTAATGTTGCTTCAGCACCAAAACTAACAACTCAAACTATCACTATCACAACAAACTCATCTGGACACAATGTTGTCAAGTTTTTCATAGATCTGTTTGTGATCAAAGTATAAGTTAGGGATGACTCTGAGGTACAACTACACCAAATTCTAGCTCAGTAGCTGAAAAAATGACTGAATTATAGACATTTTTATGTGTTTTCTAAGTAGCTGTGGTAGTTATCCTTGCTGTTTTTCTTCGTAATACCGCTATCTAGCGCTCACTACTATGAACTACATCTGAAATGACGTAAAAATGGGAAGTTTGACTTTCTATCTATCTATCTATCTATCTATCTATCTATCTATCTATCTATCTATCTATCTATCTATCTATCTATCTATCTATCTATCTATCTATCTATC